GTCGATTTCATCATATCACAGACGCCGCGAATGACCTTGAATGCAGCCACACCATGCAGTTACAACGAGTGGTTGGACAGTCTCCTCCTTACATGATTGTCCAAACAGATGGCGAATCTCGATATAGGACATCACCACCACCTTTGGTGAGAGAATGCGTAGCAACGGCATAGGATGGTTGAATAGATAAGAGCAAGTTTTGAAACTCAGATTCAGACAGTTGATCAGATAACGCCGGCCATAATTAAAACAGTACAACTTTCTCGTGAAGAAGATCAGAAGCAAGATATCAACTGCTGCGTGGCTCTCCACATAAAGAACGCGCTCCAGACTGAGGCCAACATCAATTCTCATCACAAAATAGGCTGCTGGCTACAGCATGCACCTTGTTGCAGGCCTTCGTTACTAAAGCTGTTTTTGATCAGCCGTACTTTTCGTTCGGTAGTGTTCGCGAAACAAATTTAATTAACCGGATTCTACTTTCCAACATCTTATACTCCAGACACAGCTACAGTATGAGCCAGTAAGCCGAGGCTGAAAAAATGAGATATTTGTTTATAGTCGAGATGACAGAATGTGTAAACAGACGACAAGTCAGTGGGAACATACCCAACACGATAGTGCAGTGGTACAAACAATTGATCACGATAACCTGATGTTGGAGCGACAGCAAATGATGGGACAGAGAGCAAACAAACCAGGTGCGACAAAGTCTGGAGAACGAAAAGTTGCAACTGTTCTGTACGGAAACATAGACTGAACACCAATCAGATAAATGAATTTGGTCCTCTATTGAGAAACGTGAAACACTGTGTGAATGTGCATTTTTCATTTCTTCCAACAAGCACCATTGTTAGTTCTGGGGAAAATTGACACGTCGTCAACCGCAGCTCTGTGTGTCGGCAGAGCTGCAATTTGCGAAAAAATGGCAACCCTACCCGGTGCAGTTAAAATATTAATCATATTTTCTTGCAAACTGAGGTTCAGCGTATTTATTTCTCCGAAGAAATCCGCAAGATATGCCAGCTTGGAAATAAATAAGTTTTCTGTTATCATGACGTGTAACCCGTTCCCCATACCCTTATACAGCTCCTTCGTTCCTCCCAAGTAACATTGTAATTTCTGCTCGAAGCTGGAGCACTCGGTGCAACACCCTCCATCGTGATAATCAACGCACTGCTGTGTGCGTCCAAATTCATTGCACAACTCATTGAAAACTTGTACAGGTCGCACAACTGCGGATCACATTGATTATTTTCCCCACCTTGGTTACCGCGTCCAGCAAAGCAGGTGGAAGTGTTTTCACTGCTAAAGCATAACGATGTATGATGCAGTGGCTAAAGGTAGTGTGCTGAGCAAGTTTTTAACCAATGTTTGGGATCCAGTACGGACGCCCAACATGTATGGCGCTCCATCTGTACAGACAACTACCAACTTCGACCAACGTAGATCCTTTTCCTCCACGAAGTCCTTCCCTGTTCGAAAGACACCTTCGCCACGTGTAGCAGTGCTCAATGATTCTGAGAACAAGCACTCATCTATGAAGCGGTCGTTTTTCAGGTACCGAGTTTAGACAAATATTTGCGAACAAGATGTGACGTTGGCCAATGCATCCAACTGGATAACGAAGAAAGGACTTGAATTTATTTCAATGAGCACCGCCTTCATGCTCATGTCCTCGACAAAACTTTTGATGTTATTGTTATAAAATGATATCATTCTTATCATTTACGCATTTTGCTCTCCAACAAGGAGCTTCATGGCATTCGATAAACAAGGTTTGATGAGATCCTCTCCCATAATATGCGGTTCCTTGTTTTTGCCGATTCGAAGAGCGATGCGGCACGAAGCTTCAACATCAGCATCAGTTGACTGAAAAAGGAGACCGATGCATCCATGCGCAAACATTCCAGTGCAACTTCTTCCATTTGAAGAATGTAATAGCTTTTCCAACCAACTGAGAATGAGTTCGTTCGAACTAGTCTTTAAAAGTGTTGGCTTTCAGCCTCTCCGCCGTGCGTACTTTCCTGCACAAAACACATAGCCGCCTCACAAAACTTTATCGACAAAATTGCAGAAGACCCATACCAGAAAAGCTTCTTCGCAAAACTGTATTATTCCAAAAGATATGATTTCAAGAACAAAGTAGACAGCAAAAAGTTATATATCTACCATGAGTTTCAAAAGTCACGTCTGTTTTTAGTTCGCTGCACGGTGAACATGGTGCAGGCCTTTGGGTGACATGAGAGCGCATTACATTGCCAACTGTCCAATGGTAGATGTTGGCCTCTCTCCTCTTATTCGCCAAGGGTTATTAACACACATGTAAATCACCCCCGTGGCATTTCCAATCCTCTCCTAACCGTTCTGTCGACTAAAAGCGGAAACGGTGGCACGATCGTTCAGCTGTTAGACTGGTTTTGAATGCAATAGTGACCTGTCGAGTGCACACTGTAGCAGCACAAGGCGATGAGACGAGTTTGCTTGAAACCTCTGAACCACCTATTGGGGGAACAAAATCGTAATTCAGCATGGGCGTACGTTTTTCGGTGCGACTGCGTCAGGCTCGTACAGTTGTTTGCATGCAACAAAATAGGCAAACACACGATGGGGGTCGGTGTTGTGTACTCAATGTGAGCGAACTCTGATAATTGCTGTCCATCCGATGAGCAGAGCACCCCGTGTGTGGTTCAGCGGTTCAAAGATCACAATCTGTTCGGGACAAAGTAGCCGAACGAACCCTTCCCGAAGGCACGACTTCAGTCAGCACCATCGCATCTGGATGGGCTCAGTCACTTCTAGCCTGCGTCAAACCATCATCATCATCAGCATCATCAAACCAGCAGCAGCCCATTAGCCATTTGAACTATTGCTTCTCTGCCATACAATCACAACGACCTAGGGAACGAAGAATAATGAGAAGGGGAACTAGCGTAAAACCTTCAGGCTCTTGGCATACATTCAGGGTCAAGGCGCAGAAAAATTGTCAACAACATCTCGTCACAAAGAGCATACCATCGTGCCACAGCTTGGGATATCTGTTAGGCGCAACAGCTTTTATCCAAAAGCACTTTCATATTACGTGAATTCGGATCTTGCTAGTGAGTCACTTTGAAGCTATATGAGACTCCTGGATTTTAACTCGCAGGGCTGTGCATCAAACGAATTTAAACACCAAATGGGAGTTTCCATGTTAACCAGGTCATGAAACCTGTCTTTCATTTCTTTTCCTAGTTGTTGTAAATGACTGGCATAAACAATCAAGCCATCATTCTTCAGCCCCACCATGACCGTAGCGCCAATTGGGAACTTCCTGACGTCCGATGTTTTGAACATACACTACCAGCATTTTAAGAAAAGCGATGGCGGCTTTCTTGCTCCAGATAAAAGATAACTTGCCTTGAAGAGTTTTATTTAAGAAGTTATTTTTTAATAACATCGGTCAGATAAAGCACGTCTGGTTTAGCTGTTAACAGTTTGCTTTCATAATCAATTCCAGAAAGGAATGTGATGATGGTATCCCAGAGTGCGACAAAACCGTGAAGACGGTTGCCCTTGGAAATTCTCACTGTTCTCCTTACACAACTGTTGGAAAGGACTATCTTGAAGAGGGTGCGATTAGATAATTTTGGTTACCATTATGACAGTTGACAGTGAATCGTTTAAGTGCCCTCCCAAGTTCTTAGCCAATAGGTCCTCTCGATGAATCACAGTGTATTGTGAACAGAAGGAAATACATTTTTAGATGGGCAATAAATCCTTTACATCTTCCAACCACTGCGGCAACAACACCGGTTGCACACACAACTATGGTCTGTAGTGGAATGGAGTTTCTGTATTCGAAATCGCAATTCCTACTGTAAACAATTTACGACACATATTAGGTCTATGCGCTTTTGGCCGTCATAAACCATTGCTCTAGGAGGTGTTGGGTTTTCGCCTGGCAAGCGTTCTCTGAAAAGTCCGCTTAACAACATTGCGAGGTGGCGGATCTGACTCTTCACTAAATAAAGTCACTGCCTCCTCTTTTCCGGAGGATTCTTCCCACCTCACGAACGACATACTTTTTCAAGAGCTCCATTGATCCTTTCATACGATGGCGAACACAGCCAATAACATCACGAATTCTGAGTCACATTTACAAATTCAGCCACCATTTCCACTTACACACATCTGGATTGGCGGCATCCGTAGGCGGATTTGCCTCTGACTGTGGGCTCCTTAGGACAGCCACAGGACGCCTGCGTCTACAGAGAGACCATGGGTGGCTTGCGCTGCACCACCCAGAGTTCCAGCCACACCCCATATCCGGTGTAAAACCGAAGGACTAAGACCGAGAGGCATGTGGATGGGAGCCACGTTTGATCAACGGAGCCGGCCCACATTTCTTCAACAAGCAGAACAGAAGCATTCCGATCTACTTGGGAAATCATGCGCACCGAACGTACACAAGGCGGTAGCTGGGCCGTAGCCCGTTCCACACAGGTTGCATGGAACCACTTTTTGAACCTAGCACCGTCACGAGGACGGTGCACCTCGTCCCCTCTAGCAAGGACCAACTGTCTCCTGGAGTCAGCAATCGAGGTGGAGGGTATTAGACAGGTAGGTACCTCGTTAACATTCACATCGGGTGAAATTAGAATAATTAAGTCGCGCAAAAAACTGCGGAACAATTGTGGGGGTCTCGTGCACAGGGGCCGAACCAATACCAACCTGACAATCGTTGGTGTAGTGGCCTCTCACTGTGTGAGCACCGCATCATCGGTAACAAAGACACTCCAATGCTCTCAATTTGAAATAACTGGTGCGATAATTTCGGACTATTCTTCGTGAGCATTCCATATACATTAACAGAAGGTTTATTACAGTGGAACTGGTGACCGAGGCATATATTTGATCGTTAAGCAAAAGAATCGTCTAAGCAAGGCAACATTCTAAACTGCGCACCACATTTCAGGTGGCTAACTAGTGTATAACAATAAAGGGTACGGACGGTTTACCTGTGAAAATGAACACGCTTCCATGGGTGAACAGCGCCTCCGCGTTGGGATTGGCAGTTCGATGACCGATATGCAAAACAACTCCAGACGAAGTAGTAGACGACATCGGTTGCCACGATGCGTTGTCACAAAACGTGCAGGGAATCAGGTCGACATCGGTTCTATGGCACTCCAGGCCGTAGGTCCAACAGTTGAGCTAGAGAAAAAGCGACAAAAGAGAACACATTTAGAGAAGAAGAACCGGTGATAACTGGATGTCTCGAGCGGGAGCTCAGGCGCCTATGAATAAAACGGTAACAGAAGAATGTTCGAATTCATCAGCAATAGTATCACCGTTCTAAAAGTTGGGGGTGGGAAATAGCTCAGATTTTGCGCCGCGATAAAGCTGAAATAGACAATGCCAAGAGGAAAAGATAGAATGCCCTGTGCTTGTCATGTAGAGACGAGGTATGTGAGAGGGAAGGGGCCACGCGATAGGCTCTTAGTCATGCCAACAAACGTCCCGATCAGACGTGGCCAACAACAGTGGCACACCGATCCGGAGTTCAAGAGGCTACAAACAAGGCCAACTTCGAAGTGAGGGCCTTCAGTTCCCTTGACAAAATCATCTGACGGCCTTCCGTCGTTTTCTTTCAGTTAGACCTACGTCGCGTAAACAACGCACCTAGCGGAAATTGGTGTGTTGGCATGAGTAAGCCATGACCAAGTCACCGGAGCCTGGTGAAAAAAACCGTCTCAACGAGACTGAACCTTAACCTGGTGCGACGGTTTGCGTACCTCATTGACCCATTGAGCAATACAGGGTGGTGCCCCCGGACATCTTGAGAGCTACTCCTACCAGGTTTGTCAATGATGAGAGATCAGACAAACTCAGTCTCCTGGTCCTCCAGGTTGGGGGTTTGAAATGCAATGGCGTCCATCTCTGGAAAACTAAATCATTGCCACCTCCCCGCTGCCTTGCGAACAGGCTTTTGAGCCAAAGGCTTTGGACGAGGACCCTAATCGTCCTCCTGTCTAGGTCTGGGCGCCCTGCCAGTATCTCAACCGACATACAACCAAGACTTTTTCTTCAAACATAAACTTCATCCTGCATCGGCCCTCGCGCAGATTATCAAGGGTCGCCTCATCTGCAGCATACAGCAGGGCGGATAAGCAAGAACATGCTACTGCTGACGCCTCCCTTCTTTCTTTTCCACCTTTTTCTCTTACTCCCATCCCGACCCCCATTACTAACCTTCCTTCTATGATTCCCAGCTTAATTGACAGCAACCTACTGGTCGCAAGAGAGAAGTGGGCTAAGTCAATGGATGCTTGAAAACGTTTAGATGTGGTCTTCATCGACTTCAGCAAAACTTTTGATAGAGTCCCTCATCAGGAATTATTCTCTAATCTCTACGGAATTGGCATAACAGGGAACCTCCTACTATGGATCAGTGAGTTCTTGCAAGGACGGAACATGTATGTCAAGGTAAAGGGTACCCTTTCATTTCCAGTGCCTATGCCCAGTGCCTATGCCCAGTGGCGTACCACAAGGCTCCATCCTCGGACCGTAATTGTTCAAGATATAAATCAATGACCTACCGGGTATGCTACACACGGACTGTCTGATCTATGCAGACGACCTCATGCTATGGTCGGAAGTGTCCAGTTTCGAAGGCGCCGACCGATTACAGGAAACGCTTGATCTACTACACGCCTGGTCTATCAAGTGGGGTTTGCCGGTCGATAAAGATAAGTGCTCTGTCCTTTCCATCGGTGCTGCTGAACCATTGGACATCTATCACATGGGCGGGTACCTACTCAAGATTGCCACACAGGAAATGGACATGGGGACAATAGTATCCTCTGATATCAAAACTACCAGTGACACAATAAAGAAGACTGCTGTGGCGAACAGGATGTGGGGCGTCATAAGGAGATCATTCGCTAAAATGACGCCGCAGACATTTAGACTTCTCTATACCTCCACATCCGTCCAATCCTTGAATTCGGACTTCCGGCCATCGCCCCTCTATCGAAGCATGAAAGTGACAAAATAAAAAAAATTCAGCGACGAGACTCGAAATTTGTCCTTGGGCTACGCGAATTCCCGTATCCCGCCCGACTACAGAGGATGAAGCATTTTTCCTTAGACTATAGCCGACGCCGCGGAGATCTCATCCATACTAGGCGTATCTTAGAGGAGAATTGGGAAACAATCGGAGGCAGTTTTTCAGCTAAGAATGGGCAGTTCGACCCGAGATCACAGCTGGAAGGTGTTTAAGCCGAGGAGATTGAAAGTCCGCTCAGAAGTTGCTCTCTCTACTCGAGTAATTAATGACTGGAAGCGACTGCCAGACCCGATTGTCAATGTGCAGTCAGAAGCGAGATACAAAAGTTTGCTACACATCTTTCTACTGAGTACTCCAGGATTCTGCAGGACTGATACTACATCCTGAGCTATGCCACATCTACTACGACTGCAATCCTTGGAAGATCGGGAAGTGAAGGAGCTGACACGGGACCTCCCTTTTGCTCTCTATCACTCAATGAACTCAATGAACCGCAGTGCCACCGAAGTCGAACTATCTGCAGCTACCTTCCAGCACCACCCATAGGACGCCTATGGGCAACACTCACTTAGAAGGCCACGCTGTCCCGTTTCCCTGGCGGCGTTCAACGTTCGCACTCTAAAACAAATAGGTCAACAGGCTGTACTCGCAAGTACCTTAGACACACTGGGTATTCTAAATAAGACAATGAGAAGACTGGTATTACGAGATGGAACCATTTCGTATCTGCTCACTCGCAAACTAACAACATAAAGATGACTCGCGTGACAGAAAAATCGAAGATTTGAAACTGGCCACAAAGGAAAATTACGTAGACGCAAGAATAACAGATCACTGGGTATTGACGAGTTTTGCGTATCCGAAACTAGAACCAATGACCCTCATAGGTTGTTGAAATAACTGCGCCCAGTTTATCCTCCAGCTATTGGTTGCATGCATCCGGAGACGCCGATGCAGCACCCACGGGCCAAGCTGGTGTAGGTATAATTCTAACCTCCAAAACTGAGCCATGGTTGGTTGATCGGATTCCGGTAAACAGCCGTTTATGTGCAGCCTGTTTGACGACATCAGCTAAACTAAAATCCTCCTACTCATCAGTGACATCCGCTAAGGTCGATTCACGAAGTAGTACAAAACGCTGTTTGTTTCTGATTTCCGTTCATGCTACCACTGACTGCAGTTCTGATGCTGCCAAGCACAGATTCTAGCACGAACGAACGCACTACTACACAGTGTTACCAGTTCAGATATTATAGTACTTGCAGGGGATATGAACCCACAAGTACAGCGTCTGAGCTCTTCAGAAGCTCAGCTGGGTGGCAATTATGGGCCTAACTCCGAAAGGACTAACAACGGCGAGCGTCTGTTGCAACTGTGCACGGAGCACCAGCTGTTCCGTAACAGTACTGCTTTTAGACACAGTGTGCGCCGAAGTGCCAATTGGCGTCCTCCTGTAGCTAACCAGCGATGGACCCAAATTGACCACATAGCCATAGGTTACAGGTGGCGTGGTTCCATCCTGAATTGCCGCTCGTACTGGAATACCTGCGTCGACTGATCATGCATTGGTACGCTGTCGTTTCTCTATGAACTTTACCGCGAGGCGCTCCAAGCGTCTCCTCCAATTGGCAACTGAGAAATTGTTTCAGCCCTCGGTCGAGCAAGCCTATCAAGTTGCACTGCGTACCGAACTTCCACACTCTTGTCCTAACGACACTGAGCTTCAGTGGAATAGGATCTCGGCCGCTATTCACAACGTAAGAGTATCTACTTGTGGCACTATCGATCGTCACCGCACCAGTCACTGGATATCCGAGAGGTCCATGAACCTGTTGGAATCTAGAAGAAACCTCCCGGATGGTTCTGAGCACAATGTGACCAGACGGGCTATTAGGCGTGAACTAAAGCAGAGCCTACGTGCTGACAAGGAAGCCTGGTGAACCAGTCGGGCTCAAGAAATGGAAGAGGCAGGAGCAGTAGGCAATTACCGCAAGCTCTTCCAGCTAATCCGCACCACTGGTCCCAAAAAACCACGCGTCAGTGAGACAATCAGAGACAGCGCGGGTGGCATGATTCACAATAAGAAGCGCCGTATGGCGCGTTGGGTGGAGCATTTGCAAAATCAATTCCGTAGGTCTCTTGTTTCCGGACATCTTCCTACTCAGATGATGCAGGAAGAGCCATGGACGGTTAGCTTAGAGGCTCCATCGGATGCCGAGGTCCGAAACGCGATCACAACCCACCATCGTCTTCGTGCCGCTGGCCGGGATACCTTCCCACCTGCATTATTTCAGGATAGAGGTGAGGTCTTCTGCAAACCACTGACCTCCCTATTCGAAAGTATATGGAAGGAAGAGAGTGTCCAGGCTAATTGGAGCGAATGAATTATATTGGCAATATACAAGAAGGGCAGTCGCACAGACTGTTCTAACCACAGGAGTATTAGCTTAACGCCAGCTGTGACAAAATTATTGGCCTCGATTCTCGTTCGTCGCCTCACTGCGGAACGGGAATCTCGGAGTAGGGAAGAGCAGGCCGGTTTCCGCCCAGGACGTGGCTGTATAGACCATATATCACTTTGCGGCAGGTGCTAGAGCAGCGCCACGCATATCGCAGACCGACCATAGCTGTGTTCCTCGATTTCAAGAGTGCGTTCGATTCAGTCGATCAATCGATTCTGTTCGAAATACTTGCGCAGAAAGGTCTTCCCACGAAATATGTGAACATTGTACGTGCTCTATCTCGAACACTACAGGCCGCGTCAGGGTCTACGGTGTCCTATCCGATAGCTTTCGTCAGGGTTGTCCGATTTCCCCATTTTCGTTCAATTTCGTCGTGGATTCTATCATGGAGTGTTTCCTTGCGGAATCCATGATGTACGCGTTGTAGTGATGCCTGGTGAAAGATTAGTTGATCACCATTATGCGCACCATATCGTCTTGCTTTGCGACCATGTTGCGACGACACAATCAACCCTGAATAGCCTGTCCAGAGTGGTCCTATTATTTGGTATGCACTTCGCACCTTCAAAGTGCAAAGTGTTGTTGCAGGACCACCAGCCACGTTATGACCCCCTGACCCTTGCTAACGAGAAACTCGAGGTGGTTGATCAATTCACTTAGCTTGACAGCAACGATGGGCGCAT